CACTATTATTCATTTTTATATAAATATATGATTTAAAGAATATTTTTTATAGATATGACGTCTAATATAAACCTTATAACAATATAACTTAACTTCCAATTTTTATATAAAAATCCTTTCTAGATAAGATAACATCAAGTAATATATGCTTAATCCCTACTTTTCTTGATTTTTCTAAAGTTTAACATAAAACAGCATCGATTGTAAACATTTAAATAAAAGCTTTTTAGCACATCCATTAGAATCCTTATCTAATATATACAAAATCCCACAACTCCACAAGTTTTTAAACATCTACTTTTACACTAAAGGAACAGAAAGCAAAAAAGTAACACTCCATTCTCTACTCCTCTCTAAATACTAAATAAAACCAAAACGACCGAAAACAAAAGACAAATTAAGACTTGCTAACTCATCTCTTTCTCTAGTGGGGTTCACACGAATCTTTGAAAAAGATCATATCATATTTACTTGGTCCTCATCAACCATGTCGATACCCCATGAAGTAGTTAAAATCATGGTGTTGTACATTTAACTGCTTTAGCCAACAACCCGCTACGTTCAAAAGTGACACAAGCTTTTCATGATCATTTCCATTCTTACCCGAAGTCCACAAGTCCCCTTGCATCTTGTAAGTGGCTAGTCCAAAAGGAGGAACATGGATTCCTTCCCCTACTTCTCTCTTCTTTTTCGAGAATCCATCATGATCTTCGTTGTCTGTATCTGTATTTGTATCCATGCGTATAATGTAAGCTTTCAATGTAAAGATACTTTTTGAATAATGACAAAATAAAGAAATAAAGATGCTATGAATAATACCTTGAAATGATGATGAAAGGGTGTGGTAAGTGAGGAAACATGTGGACAAGTCCTTTATGGTCCTCCCCATTGGAATGTGATATATTGGGTACCTATAGAATATGTCAAGTACACGCATCACACTATGAGGTCACACTAATATTGATATGTAAGCAATGAAAATATGAATAAAGAATCATTGGTTATAACAAATGATTACACTGCGCTTTGTTGTACGCATCATGCTTAAAAAGCGCAGCGCAATTATTTTCTTTTTATTCTGATTGGTGGTTTATCATGACAACAAGATGACATGATATAATCATTGTAGTCAGAATTTTCTTGCGTAAATTTTAAAAAATAAATAAATAAAAAATACCATGCGACTGCCATCCAACTAGCTGGTGAAAGATCGACGCTTCTCAACGACATCAATCCGGGGTATTTTTGAGATAACATAGAAATCTACATAAAAACAAAAAAATATATATAAGATTAACAGAAAAAAATTATTGAAAACCAAACCTGAATTAGTCCTTTCCGTTTTTTACAAATTGGGTTTTGTCCGATACATAATATTTAAAAATATTCAAAAAATGACAAATTGGGAAAAAGAAAGAAAAAATATAAAAGGGTAAATTCCTATAAGAGTGAGACTTACCGACAAAATCACTTTTGTGATGACTTTTTCCATCAAATTCTTTTTTTTGGGAAATAAGTCGAAAAGAAAGTCTTGTATATTTTACAAGAATAAGTCTAGTACTTGTCAAAAACAAACAATAACTTAGTTTTAGTAATGTGAACCGGTTAACTAACAAACAATTACCTTGTCCAAGAGAGGAACTCTTCCATAAGGAGTTGATCTTTCAAAGTATTGAAAGTAAAGATTACCCAATCGATCATTAAAAGGCAATGTATTTTCATGCTCGAATACACCTTCCTCAGATGAGCATCCATCCCACCTAGACAACTTTTCGCTCTCGCTCTCATCACTAAATGAATCGCTAAATGAGTCTCTTGTTTCTGAATCCGTCTCTTCCCTATACACATAAATTAAACATGTCTTACACGATTCAATTTCATAATCAATAACTATTATGAAAGATTTGATTGAGCACATAAAACCCATTAAACACGACTATTGGTTCGTATTTAAAGCCAATAATTGTCTGGCATGTTAGTGTTTGAACAAAATTAAGTAATTAACCATCGACCCGGACAACCTCCTGTATGGAATTTCGTACCTCATTAGCCAACCGATTTACATAATTACAAATTGTTTTCCCAAGAAACATCCAAATAGAAATTGAAGTGACCAATAATATTTTTTTTATATAAACCAAGAGAAGGTTTTTTAAGTATTAAATAAAAATATAAAATTTATTGTTTTAATGGGATGGATAAGTGATAACTAGAACGGAATATGCCTTTTGCTTTTCCAAGCACATTATCCATAATAAATAACCAAAAAAGAAAAGTAAAAGTACACAAGATATAGTCATATGCATTAATTATCCTACACTATATTTAAATTTTCACTTTTGATCATTTGACTAACAATTTTACATATAAGCCCAAAATGATTATTTTTTCTTCTCCAATAAGTCCAACAAAGAACCAAACTTCTCTAACCACAATAAATTCAATACTAAAAACAAAAACCAAAAATTCTATGTTATTTATTTCTAGAAGAAGAAAAATCGATTTTTAACAAGTACTAGATTTAATAATATTTAATAAATTTTCATCATATACAATTTAACATAACATGACAGAGTTCCTTTTTGTTCGTATTCATGAAATTGCATCACAAGAATCCAAAATACTGTCAGTAAACTGGATATTATGATTTTATGAAAGAAGAAAAGTAGTCAAATAAATAAGAAAAGAAATAAATAGGCAATAATTATTAATATGTATATTTTTTAATATTTGGGGATTGTTTGCGATGAACAACATACCTTAGATAGTTCAAGGCTGAATTGCTTGTAAAGATTTGAATAGCGGATAAGTACGGCACGTAATACTGTATGATTGTTTCATCTTCTCCGGCGTCGACTTTGATCGGAACTCCGGCGCCGTAAGCACTCCATTCATCAAAACTATTCCAAAGATCACCCAACGTGAAGAACTCGACTTTTTCTCTCTCCCATGGATGCCATAGCCGATTAAGCTTTGAAACCTCACTCTGCACCAAAATTCATCGCAATTTCAGCAATCAAAAACAAATCTACACTTGGGTTTTGCGGAATTGACAAATTACTCATCTGGGATTTGCATAAATCGATGGAAATTTCAGTAGATTCATACCTTGGACAGGAATTGAGAGGGTACAACAGGTGTTGTACAGTCCAGGAAACATTCAAGGTTTGTCGATTGCATTGATGATTTCGATTGAAGAATAAAGGGTGAAACTAGACTGAAGAACAAACGAGATCACTGGGATCACAGGATTTACAGCGATAACTTGTGCTTTGTAGGGAAATCTAATGTGATTTTTATGTTTGGGTTTATGATAAGGAAAACGGAAGGATTTTCCACATCAATTTTGTTCCAATAACTTCAATTAGGGAAGTAGAAAAACAGGGGAATGTTGTTGATCCTCCACGGAAACCTATGATTCCGACAAGGCTAGAGAGAAAGAAAAAACACCCCGAAAATGAAAAGTGAAACAGGAATTAACAAAGGGGAAAGTAAATGAAGATGAAGAGCAGAAGGGAAGAACAGGTGGTGTTTGAATTTATGGTGACTGAAAGCAAATAACAGAGGGGTCCAATGTTGGGGAAGACTGATGTTTTGGTTTGTTTGTTGCAGAGAGAGAGAGAGAGAGAGAGAGAGGTGTAGTGGGTTTGGGAGAGATGGAGGTGGGGATGGGGTGGTGTTCACTTATGAGACTCTCCACATGTCTTTCTCTCGAATTTTTGCATTCACATTCCCACACTCCACAAATTCTTGAAAAATAATTTAATTTTAAAATACTCGATTGACATTTTTTGGTATAAGTGATTGATCCATTTGGTTTTTTAACTTATTTTTTGGTATTTTTTGTTTATATTATAATTTATTATTTTTTTTATATAAATTTCATTCTTATAATAAGTTACCGGTTGTCGGAAAAAAATAATTAATACAGTAATATAGTTATCAATTTCTATACATTTAGTCTTTAATATTTTTTGTTGTAAAATAAGTCTTTATTGTTTTTTAAGACAAAATTACAAAAATAGTCCGGATGGTTTACCAAAAGTCACAATTTTAGTCCATGTTACTTTTTTTTTTTGACAAACTTGAGCCTTGTGGTTTCCAAAACTTTACATGGATGGTCCATGAGCCACATAAAAACATTATTATACCTTTTTGATTTTATTTTATCTTTTTTTTAATTAGAACTATTTAAAAAGAAAAAGAAAACAAAAATAAATAATACCTCCACCTCCCCCAACCCCGATAAAAACCCTTTACACCTTTATGCATCGTCAAATTCACCCATATTTTATGTCGGAATCACAGTCTAATCGTTAGTACTTGAACCTTAACAATTGATGCTCCTTGCCAATCACAAACCACTTTGGTAATAATCACTAGTTGCCGCCTTGCTATCTTCTTCTTCAACCCACAAATCTAAACCCCAATTGGTTTATCTACAAATCTGAGCCGCCTTATCCCAGGCGTAGGTGCAAAAAATGGTTCTTCCTGAACGAGAATGCTACATATGATATTGCATAAATGGTGCCACTCCTTCCCCTGTCCATCCTCTTACTAGAGAGATATCGAGAAATCAGAGGAAAAAAGGTGGCATTGTGGCTTTGATTCATCGTGTTCTTCATTTGTGTGAGGTGTGGTGGTGCCATCATATATGGTTGTGAGGAACTGGTACGCCACCCATCATAAGTATCAAAGTTCATGAGAAATTCTAAATTGGCATTTTAACAAACTCATGGAAGGCAAAAAAAACTATTGAATTCAATTGGCTAAGGTTCATGTTAGATGATAATAAACACAATGAAACTGTATATTTGCTACAAAAATCGATTGAAGATGGGAATTTTGGGTTATTTGACTCCCATGTATGTTCTTTGTGTGTTTGGAAGCCTACAAAAGCAAATGGTTTCCCTAAAAAAATCAACCCATTTCTTCTATGAAAGTGAAAATCACAACCCTCTTTCTTTTCCTTATCTTCTAAATCAAAGCCTTACCATTATCCCACATTCTTTCTTCTAATTACATGACATAAATAACCCAGATTCATTCTCGCATTGTTAACCTTTTTTTTCTCAATTGAAGCTTCCTCTTATA